TCTTTGTGGGTGTTTATGTTGGGATTGTGAAGTGTATTTTGGCCAGGGGGTGAATGGAATAAAGGGAGGGTTTTATTGGCTCAATAAAGGCTTTTAAAGAAGGAAAATAACAACAAACAAAAGGTTTTATTTTACACACTCTTATTTTCGGCCCGGGGCTAAAATAAGAGTAGGAAGAACTTTATTTTGGATATCAAAAGGAAATAAAATACTTTTGGATATTTGGGGTTGGGTTGGACAAAAAGAGGATTGGCCAGCGGAACCCCGAGGTCAAAAACGAAAGTTATTTGGCCTTCCGGGTTAAAGGACTTTGAATTGTTACTAAAATGGATCATAATGTTCGAACGTAAGTCCTTTGGTTCCCATGGGAGTGTGGGACATGGGGGAGGGTAGGATAGGGCTGGGCCCAGATATAACACACCATCTCCAATGGAGCCAAAGATTCACTATTTTTGGCTTTGGGATATTAAGGAATTAAGCAAAATGGCTCTTTAAACCGTCTGCACTCCTTTCATTAGTGAAGTAGTAGTTAGTCAATGCAACTATCTGGGCTCATCATGGGTCATCCAAAAACAGCTGCTCTATGTTATAAACATAGGGGTCAGGTTGTGTACATCCGACCCCCCTGCCCTGCAATTGGCAGGATCCTCTGGGGTAATGTCGTAGTTATTGTTTTGGGTAGTAAATGCGGCAATGGATCAAGTGTAACAAAATTGAGATTGTACTAGGTTGTTGTAGTTTAGACATTTCAGATTTTGCATCACCTTTCAACCTCCATGAATTGCTTCTTATGAAGATAGGAGGGAGGGCATCACCCGGAAAAACATTGACATTGCACTAAAACAATTGTGTCACCAAAGACACTTATAGATGAGATGAAGGCTCTGATTATGATGATCATGACTTCTCAACCCCAATGCCAAATACTAGAACTATCCAAAGCACTTCCACACTACAAATCCCAAAAGTAGTTGTCAAAGGGTTTTCCTGATTAGAAAACTTTTGTAACTGCGACAACAATCCAAAATTAGGACTTCAAAATGGAATCATGTTCACCAGACAAGTAACAAACTTGCATCATAGACTTAAAATTTATAATCAACCAAATCCTTTACATATCATCACAATGATCCAGAGGAAGCACTGCTTTGTCAAAGTAAGTTTTCTTTTAATGTCACACAATCATGTGGGTAGAGAAGATATAGTACATAGAGAGAAAAGATGACATGAGTAAAATGACATACCTCGACTCTGCTTCATCTCATCACGCATGAGATAGACATCTTCAACACGACCATAAGGAGAAAAAATCTAAGATAAAGGAAATAGCAACAATATTTAGTTAATCACCCAATCCAATGATATACAAAAACATGTAAAACTAATCCACATAATTTCTCTTCTTTTTTCATTTCTACTGGGTCAATATGTGAGACTAAACACTATCACCTTATAGATATAAAAATTTCAAGACTTCATCATATCTGTCTTTAAATTTATTGCTACAAACATCAAACATTTACACCCCTTTCTTGTGTAATCCTTCATTCTTTAAGAGCCTAGGGGGTGGAAGGCAAGACGGAAAAGGAATAAAGAACAAATTTCTAGCTTGTCTTTTCCGCACAACTTACGCAAATAAAAGTGCCTAGCGAAAACCTAAGTACATTTGTTACACCAAACCCACCTCTTCAACATCCTTCACAGAAGCTTGTTTGCTAAGTGACCCAACGAATAACTTGTACTCGACTGTACCTAAAGAAACCCACAAACAAGAAAATTCACATATAAATAGTTAGCACCAACTTTTTGGCAGGAAAGGATGGAAGTCGCAAAGAACAATTGTAAAAGGAATAAGGATATGCCTCGATAATCTAGAATCAACTTGCTAAAGTTGAATGTGCTTAAATAATTACTCCCTTTGTCCACCATAGATCTTCCCAGATACTATTCACAGGGTCAAACTTAACTCACTTTGTTTGCTTATTTTAACCATTCATTTCATAAAATAAAACAATATTGTCACCTCTAGTTTTGTAGAACTTTTCATATACTTTTTTACTATATAAATTTTATTTTTAAATTTTATCTATACAATCAAATAAATTGAATTAAAAATAAAGTCGGTCAAACTTCGTAACGCGCAATGTGAAGATCATTGGTGGACGGAGGGAGTAAAAAAGAAAATAAACTTGATAGCTTTACATTACCAAGTCGTTCTCGCTCACCATCGGCATATCTGACTTGAATGGGAGCTATTCCCCCTGGTAAAGTATAGTTGTTATGCAAGGCTCTAATGGCCCTGTCAGCATCCTCTGAGGTAGCATATTTAATGAAGCAACAACCTGCAGAAGTCATAAAATTGTGCTCTCATATCACAGATAACAATTATCTTCACTAAATGACAAGAACTTTACAAGCCACGGCACGGATGCTTGAGAATAGTTGAACAAGATATCATATGGTTCAATGAAATAGAAAACAAAGTAGCTTCGAGAAAATTCTGAACAAATCAACAAAAATGTTGATGTCTATAAAAAGTATATCATACTTTTTGTAGTAATAATAATCCATATAATGTAATCCAAGACACTTGAATCTAAAATTCTCATCTCAAATCATCAAGCTAATACCGACACATCCACACTTATATAAAAGCTTATCCCCTGTTCAAGTAATGGAAACAATAGATTGGAGCAGTAAGCTGACTGATGCTCAGCAGATCACACCATGAACATAAAAACATAATGCAAGATCAAGAGTACAAAAAAATAATAGCTCAATAGCAGACTGCTAACAACAGACATTGAGATGCCAATGTGAGAAAAATGTACAGTATACAAAATCCACTAAACGCCGCTAACAAAACTGCAAAGAAAAATAAAATGTCTATTTACTAGAGCGAAACCATGATTTACATAGAGCATCCACTGTGAGAGAAGTTAGATGTTTCTTTATTCATCGACATTCATCTAGAGAGAGAGAGAGAGAGAGATCTAACATCGCATTGCAAAAGATTAAAGATGGAGGAAGGCTTTATGTAGAGCTCATTAATAAGATGGAGAAGAACTTGAAAATCCAACAAGTGAAAGCATTGCATAGCTTTAAAGTCAAAGGGATGAGTAATGAAGCATTAATTCAAATGCTGGGATTCATCATTGTAATACTTAAAAACAAAAGTTATGGAAGAAAACATAGAACAGTGTATCACAGCCTTTAGCAATGCAGCCATCATGACAAAGCAAAAGAGAAGCGATATTCAAACTAAATCATAAGAAATGTGTGTGCATGAAACATAAGACTGAGAAAAGGCTATTCATTCATCAGGGAGAAAAAATTTAAACTCATCAGCATTCATATGAAGAGACCACCAGAGATACTCAAACTATCAAAAAACCCAATGGAAAGCACAAAAAGATAATTAAACTGTGAGCAACCAGCTGATATAAAGAGCTGATGTTTCTCAATTGAAGGGACCTAAAGGGAAACACTGTTGCTAAAAAGCAATTTCTATTGCACACGAATGTGCCACCACGGACATCTTCTAGAGTGGATAGCACGTCAACCTTGTAGTTCCAACGAAATAAAGCTAAAGGGACTGCAAAAGCAGTTGGACACTTTCCATAAAATAGTGATGGTTCCAGCCATCCTAAAAGCTGTATCAAATTGCAGATGATTCCATTTTAATTTATGTTGAACCAAAAACACTGAAGTACATTGTTCAGTTCTATCCACTCAAACTACCTACATCTTTGCTCTAATAAAATTGAAATGTGCGCAGTGGCTAATGCACAGGGAGAATAAATCAGTATTCTAGACCAGGCATGCATTCATACAGTGCATACCAAGCCTTTGTTCAAAGCTCAAATATCATATAAGTTGTCAACATGAACACAAAAAGATAAACTGATGGCCGCATTGCATACAAGACAGCCTCATAGACACCGCATCTTTAACTGGGAAGACATATCTATCACATCCAAAAAGAAAATTTTCCATTTGACCAAAGAAAATGATAGAAGAAATCATAAATCAGAGATGAATTTCATTGGGTTAGCAAAATAAGACATCTCCCAAAAAGTTCCAGCAAAACCAAAGGTCTGACATTACAAACACCAAAATGAAGGTGACCCGAAGTCTAAATATAAATCCTAAATAGGCGCATCATAAGGAACAGTGTTGCAATTCATTAGCTGCAATAAGTAATTGCACTATAAATTGCTTAGAATCAGGGAGTACTCTACGCATCAACCACAGGGTAGGATATGACATTTCCATCAGATTGTCAACCATATGGTACACATCATATCGATCATACTGTCAAAATTAAATAATACCAGAAGGGTAAGATTAAGTATAACGGTCAAACATTGACCGTAATTCAAACAAACAGATACTGAGAATAACATAATTCATAACAGCCATCACACCATGATAAAGCTTTTCTAAGGATACATCACTGCGCAGTGCACACAGCATTACAGATGTCGGAGTGTCGGGCATGCCAACAAAAGCATAAAAGTATAAGGCACATGAAAAGGGAATAAAGAAACAAAGTGGCAAATGTGTTGACAGCTAATAACAAGCATTATATAATCATTCACCAGGACATCACAAGTACACAACCATTCACACAGTTGTAAATAAGAGTAAACTTAAGAGCATGTAACAAGCACTGCATAAGTGCATATTAATAAAGTTGGAATATTGAATCAGATCACAAATGATCTATATATCCGCATTTCATGCCATGAAAAACAGTACAACTCTTTAACCCTCTAATCACGTGAGGGAAATCCATACACTCGGCTACAAGTCACTGAATACACTTAGACTAATAATTAACACATTAATAAGCATAATGGTAAGAAATATATGAATCCAACCACATCAGAACTCAGATTATGCATGATGCAATCAATTCACAGAAAAATCTACTAACCCCATCAGACCATTGCACAAATTCTACAGAGCAGGATACAAATTAAATCACTAATGGAAACTCGGCAATACACGTGCAACTATGCAAATGTATAACTCAATATTCATAATTTCGTACACACCCATGACATATAGAACCCCAAAAAATGTTTGCCGAAGGTCAATGTGTAGAGAGAAAACTATTGGATAATACACGCAATGAAATGAGCAATTACCAAAAAAATAAGGAAATTTAAAAGCTATCATACCAAGAGATGAAAGGTTAAGAGAGACATTCGTAATTAATAGGTACCGAACATCTATCATACCAAGGGTTGTACAACAGTAGTTCTAATTGACGCATACAGAAAAACAATTATAGAAAAATATCTAATACATTGAACCCCCTGCCAACTCCCTTCCAACCAGATCTTTTGGTCCAACACTACATCCCATGCAAATGATGCAATATGAAGTAACAACAATCAACCAATCACTAATTTAAGGTTTCTACTGTCTAAAAGGTATATTTTATGTATATGCTTCTCGCCTTCTTGACAGAGTTGATGACCAACCAATTGGAAAATTAACCAACATGAAACACAAGCTTAAAGTTGCTCCCTTCAGCCCCTTGAAGGACCTGAAAACATATACTTACGTAGATCTCCACGAAATTATTAAAAAAAATTGTGTTGTACATACCTTGTGGCTGTCCTGTTCTCTTATCTTTAATCACAGCTACCTCAAGAACACATCCATGTGCTTCAAATACAGGTCGGATCTGACAACATTACAACAAACAAAAAGCAGGCTTCAATTTCATTGGAATTTATTTGTATCTTAAAAAGATATTTGAGCATAGTTTTGTATGAGAATATCATGGTTTGAGACCTCCAATATAAATATTTAATAATATACATAAGGTATCTATCAAACCTTGGTATCAGATTAAATAAACCATCTGACTTACGAAGTACTCTGTCCAAAAATTTCTTTCCCACTTTCCTTTTTGGGCCGTCCAAGAATTTTCTTCCCGTTTCCTATTTCGGCAAATTATTTTATATTAAATGATGTATGTACCCCTTAACCCCCACCCAACCCACGCCTTTTCCTGATTCTTCTTCAATTCAATCCACGCCCCATCGTCTTCTTCTTCTTTGATTTCACCATCGCCCCAGCTTCTTCTTCTTTTCCGATTCCACCCCCCCCAGCTTTGTCTTCTCCTCTGATTCCACCCCACGCCATCATCTTCTTCTCCTTTGATTCCACCCACACCTCAGCTGTTTCTTTTTTATTCCACCCCACACCTCAACTTCTTCTTCTATAATTCCACCCCATACCCTCGTGTTATTCTTAGATCTACCAAGATCTAATTGTTGAAGGTCTAAGCAACGACTTGGTCGAATGTCAACCGTCGCCGATCTGGGTGTTGCCATCATCCCAAGGATGGAGGACGGAAGCACCGAGGATGGAGGAAGGAAGCGCCGAGGATGGAAGACCCCGCTGGCGAGGACAGAGGTGATGAAGACAGAAGACAAGGGTGACGGGGAAACATGGATGGGGGCATCATGGGGCTGTGAAGAAAAGTGGAGGGGAATTGTGGGAAAGTCAACACAATTTTTACTTTTTCTTAAAGTGTGTGTAAAGTCAAAGTGGAAAAGAAATTTTTGGACGGCTGGAGTAGTTTTTTTCTTTTGAAAAAAAAAAATTATTCCAAAAAAAATTATTCCAAACCTTTTAAAGCGAAAAAGCACAACTACAAAGTGAATTGTCAATTGTTTAACAAACAACCCCATTCAGGAAAATTTAGATATAACAAAAAACCCAGTAAAATCCCACAAAAAGAAGGGTCTAGGAGGGTTTGTGTATGAAGACTTAACCCCTACTAGGAAGTACAAAGGCTATTTCCAAGAAAACCCTGCTCAAACACCAATCCACACACAAAGTAACACCATAGCACGAACAAAGTAATAAAAGCACATAAACATGATGCATACAAACTGACAATATAAGGGTTGTCGATTTTACATTGGGTACTATTATTATTTCCAGAATCCATGATAGGAGCGCATCTCCTTTGTATTAAAAAAATGATGTTCAAGAGCAGATTAGTAAACCCAGTGTTGAAAGCTAGATAGGTCGAGAAGATAAAGAAGGATCCAAGAGGAAAAGAGTGCGAGCATACTTTTATTCTTTCATAGACACTTGAGAGTAATATGAAGATGCAAGAAAAAACAGGCAACAACCTGCCAGTATTCAATGCTTTGTTTGAGACTATTTTGCATTGTTGTGTGACTTTTGGTCTAGCTTTTACAAAATATTTTAAGTGCACTGTTTGTCCTCGCCTTGTGTGAGAACACACGAATACGCGACTGGGCGTTGTGCTATTGACTTGTTGCTTTCTTATGACAGAAGTGCTCGTTTCTACACAAATGGATTACGTAGTCTTTGGAAACTACGACAGTCTACATACAACGATCATAGCTACTCTACAACAAAGTACAATGCAAAGAGATACTTCAACAACAACAACACCCCCGGAAAATTGAGCCACAAATATCCCCCACTAGTGAAAAGGTATTTTCTTCCTTTGCTTGAAGCATGAATTCAAAAACTTATACGGGGCTACAAACATAGAAAGTTGAATTTGTGTTCACTCTTGAAGTGAGGAAAAAATACTAGGATTGAGTCTAATATTTAAGTGTGAGCTGTTACAATGTGTGCTCAACTCCAGAGGGGTGAATAGAATTGTGAGAATGTTTATGGGTAGAAAAATAGAGTTAATATTTAGGCAAAACTAAAATTATTTCCAAAAAAGGTCTATGACTAGGCTACCCACTATCCAACATACACTAAGGAGGGTGTATTCAATTGAGATTCTATTGGATTTTCTTAGATTCTCAAAATCTGGGAGTATTCAATTTAAACTTATAAAAGTCTTTAAAAATTCTGAAGTATTCAATAAGGATTTTAAATAATCTTAAAAAATATTTAGGTATTCAATAGTTAATGAATATTAATACTCCATGGATTTTGTTGGATTCCCTATCAAAAACATGCTTACCAAAATCTTTTCTCACAATCAAAGATTTCTAAGGACTTTCCCGGATACCCTTCCGACCTGCACTGGCGAAAAATTCTTACGCGGACAGAGGCAATACTGCAAATTTGCAATTCCTACTGCAATTTCTCTATCTAGATCCTTGGGTTATTAAGGTTCCCTACAAAATCCCTGAAACCCAATCCAATTGTCTGCTTATGTGGGCAAAGGCACTGCGTGCGATTCTCCTATTGCAAGAAACATTTTATGCTTTCGTCTAGCTCCTTTCTCAACCCAATCCCTCCATTCATGGCCGACAAATATTTCATCTAGGGTTAATTTTGTATGTGAAAATCCACTTAAATCAATAAAAAATCATGTTAAGTCTCCACAAATCCATGTAAATCAATAAAAAAGTTGACCAAACTCTACGTAGAGTCTACAGATTTTCTAAATCCATCAACTTTTAAAAATCCAAAAAAATTGAATAGAATCTCAATTGAATACACCCTCCTAAAAGTCATACTTGTCTTACCAAAAAGTAAGACAATTACACAATTAACTCATTGATCATATGTAAATTATTACATTTGGATTTTGCCATTTTGGATAGATCAATGAGGTAACTCTGAGTTAATCATAATGGTTTTTAACTAAAAATTTTGAAAAAACTTTCTTTAGTTTGGGAGATAAAGCTCAAGAATTGTTTTTTAAACAGAACAGGCTATGGTACTTTAGTAGTATGTGCCTCATAGTTTGGGATATTAGAACTCAAGCATGACCCAAATCAAAACATAGATGATAGACTTGAAGATGATCATTCTAAAGCATTTGAATACATGATTTTTACACACTTATTTTGCAATATCACGATAATAAATGTTTTTAAAACATATAAGAGAAAACTCACATCATCTTCTGTCACTGTTCTTGGGACAGAGCCAACAAAAAGTTTGGCAAAGCTACCTCCATCAATGTGATCTGAAAAAAATTTCATTGAAGTACGTTTACATCAAATAAAAGTGTAGAACCCAAACAGTGTGACAATATAAAATAAGAATGGAGCAATAGAGTGTATACTATTCGCTTCATAGTCCAACAATAACATAGTTTAACAAGTTATACTATGTTAGGAGAGTCACACTCCCCACAAATATAATTATTATACATGTTTAATGCTTAAGTGCACAAAATAAAGCAATAAACTAAAACAGTTTGTTGTGGTTATCCTCATTACCTCATACTATCATGCAAAGCACTTGTTTAGCAGGAAAGGGGTGTCAATATTCAATAATTACTATTCAAAGAGTGTACATCAGAACAATTTTAATTAGTTGCTACATCAGAAATAATTCATAATGTTATTCTCTAGTTGTATGTTCTATCAATACTATTAAAGGAATCTTGTTTCAGTAGAGTCAACCAAAACTGTATCATCTAAACCTGGTTGTTGGCCAGAGGATTAATGTTTTGGAAAATCCTATAAACATCAGTGTCTTGAAGAAACAAATCTATCCCCATATGTTTTCAACACTCTCATTCGCTTGGGAATATATGAGAGCATGATTGATATCTTCTACATCTGCCCACAGATTGCATCTCTCTGCATTAGTGACTAGTGCGCAGTCGCTACAAGCGAGGACTAGCCGTCTAGGTGGGTGCACGTAGACTTTACCCTTACAGACAAAAGCTAGAGACACTAATTCTAAAATATCCTGGCTCACAAGAATTCTTATCTCAGGCTTGCGGGGTATGTTTAAGTTGATTTGGATTTATGAACTCTAAAATATTAAAGACAATTTAGAACCCTATTCATGTACTCCTTCCGTCCCATTTCTTTCTTCTCACTTTCCTTTCTGAGCCGTCCCATTCGATTGTTCCCATTTCCTAAAATGGTATTAAAATACCCCCAAACTTACTTTTTTACCCTTTTTTTCTTCTTCTTCACTCTCCCACATCCCCCTCCCGTTCAGTCATCTTCACTGGTCCTTCCCCTTCTTCTTCTTCTTCCCTCACCCCTCTTCACCTTCTTTTGCTTCAG